CTTCCAGCTCATTTGCCTCAGTCACTTTATCTCGTTTCTGGACATGTACAGATATGGTCATCTGCTTCTGTTTTTTGGGCATCTTCAGGGGTTATCTGTGGCCTTAATACTTAGATGGGTGTGTATTTTGGTATTTCTTTTATGCTTTCTGAATGCCTCCAGGTAGATGTGATCAGGAAATGGACTTCCCTTTTCACTCTTGTTCCTGAGAAGTTTCAAGATACCACTTTTGGTCGTTTTGACGTAATTTAGGATTTAATTTTCGGCCTGTTTCCTCTTTTGTCTGCTTGTCCCGCTCCACAATCCCCGTTCAGTCCTTTTTTTCTAGTTGCAACAGTTCAGGGCCGGCTGTGGCCGTTTGGTTTTAATTGGAAACTGTCTCTTTAAATTTCAAGGAGATCTGTGCGCATGCGTAGTAGAACCCTCCGAGGGTGGGGCTGGGGTGCCCACTAGCTCAGACACCCCTATAATCACCCGAATGGAGGTGCACAGACAGCAAGGGACCAATGAACAGATACCAAAAGAAAACAATGTCCACACCTTTATCTCAGCGGTTCTGCCAGGCGTCTGTGGCAGCTCAGATCCTTTCCCCATGTGGTCTCACCCAAGATGGCGGTTCCTGGAGCAGCTGAGCGTCCCGGACTAGAAAGCAATAGATTTCTTGCTTCTGCCACAAATTCCCCCAGCTGTGAGCCTTCCAACCTTCTAAATATTCCTTTATATGTGGTTCAGAGTTCTGGGACCAGCCCCTGAGCCTGCTTAGTCGGGTATTCTGTGTTGTTGTTGGCGGAGCTCTCTACTATACGTCCACCCGATCCGTCATCTTGTTTGTTCCCTCCTTCATAATGTTTTGAGCATTTTATTTTTTTTTAACAGACAATAAGTGAATTTGTCTTTGGTGGTTTTGTTTGGTGAGTGATGTAACGGGATTATTAACTTCAACTAGGATTGATTACATCTGAGGAAAATTCTTGCCCAGCTAAACCTAGAATCCAAATTCAACATAAGAAAGTGAATTCCAGTTTTTGAACTGAATTACTGGGAAATACACTGTGCCTTCCTCCAGGTGTGATGTGAAGTGTACAGGGGATGTTGAGACTAAATACAGGCATGAAGCGTGAAGAAGTGTGCGTTCCTGGACAGCTGACTTGTGTCCCTGCTTAACACTTTGATTAGAATAAACTTGCAATTTGAGAATATAGAAATAAGTATCTTCAAATGAAGCTGTCGGTATTTAAAAAAATTAAGTGATGTATTGGGCAGATCTGCTGTAAAAGACCTCTTTAAAGTGTTACAGCGTTTGATGTCAGTTGGGGGACTAAGGTACCCCTGACCCAAGCTATGGTATTTTCAGTTGCCTCATATACATGTGAAGCTGAACTCTGAATAAGGTAAACTGGATAAGAATTGATGAATTTGAATTATGGTGTTGGTGCAGAATATTAAAAGTACTATGGACTGCCAAAAGAACAGACACATCTATCTTGGAACAAGAACAGCCAGAATGCTCCTTAGAAGCCAGGATGGCAGACTTGTTTTGGACAGAGGATCAGGAGGGACTGGTTCCTGGAAAAAGACATCATGCTTGGTAAAGACAGTGAAAAACAGGAAGACCCTGAATTAGAATGATTGACACACTGGCTACAACAGTGGGCGCAGATATGATCATTGGGAGGATGGCACAGGATTGGTCATTTTGAATCTGAGCTGACACAATGGCATCTAACATCAACAAACCTTACTAGTACAATGTACCAAGTGCTGGCTCACAGAACACCTGGTGGGGTGGCAGGTGAAAAGACAGGAATTAGGGAACTGTTTGGCTCTTGGAGGGCAGAGCTGGACAGGAGGTGGTGGCCTCCTTGTGGGTTGTACCTGTCCTTGATCTTACATCTTGTCACCCCATGTGTGGCCTAGGCCCTGATGGCTCCCATGTGCCCTGTGTAGACATTGAATGCGCTCTTGGCTGTGGGGCCTGGGGCAGGAGAGGCCCAAGGCATGCCTGTGAAGGTGCTGGACTGTGACACCATCTCCCAGGCTAAGGAGAAGATGCTGGAGCAACTTTATAAAGGAATACCTCTTGCCCAGCGACCGGACTCCCGCACCCTGGATGTTGGTGAGGATCAGGCGAGCGTTGTTCTGCAGGACTGAGCCAGTATTGGGACTGAGCTGGCCCTGGACCAGCCCTGCAGTGGGAGTGGGGTGCTGGGAGTGGGGTGGGGGTTGACTCTGGACACCTCTCTGGGGGTGAGCTCTCAGCTGGTGAGACCTCTGCCCCCACCCCAGCCCTGGCATTTGTTGTAAGGGGTGGCATGGTTGTGTGGGGCTGTCCCCTCATGGAGAGACTGGTGAAGGAAGAGACAGTCTCACTATGGCAAGGATGACCTGGAAGCTTGGGCCAAATCCCATCTTGCTGTTATAGAGTGGCGGTCTGGGGTGGCAGGACACCTCATTCTTTCCGACGAGGATGTCACTTCGGAGGTCCAGGGTCTGTGGAGGCGCCTGAACACCCTGCAACACTACAAGGTGGGAGGAGTGGGAGCTGGAGGAGGGGTGTGGTGTTGTGGGGCTGGCGGAGGGGTCACCGGCTGTGGCCTGCAGGTCCCAGATGGAGCAACTGTGGCCCTCGTCCCTTGCCTCACCAAACATGTTCTCCGGGAAAACCAGGATTATGTCCCTGGAGAGAGTAAGTACCCCCGTCCCACTGCGTCTCCTATCCTTGTTTTGCCCATCCCCTCATCTAGGTGCCCCCACCTTTGACCAAGGAAGTAGTTATGTCCAATCTCCGCTGGGAGATTGGGTTCTGGAGCCACCTACCCGACCAGCTTGTCACTTCCCCCTGGGTTTGCTTCTCCTTAGTTACCTGTGAGGCCTTTCTTCAGGAAAATTCCATTCCATCTCCACTAAACAAATTTCTCTATAAGGGTGTTGGAGTGACCTTGCTTAGCAGGTCCTGGAGGACCCAGGGGAGGTGGCACCTGATAAGGGGTGATGAGCTGTGGGTTCCTGGCACAGGGACTCCGATGCTAGAGGATGTGGATGAGGGGGGTGTCCGGCCTTGGCACCTGGTGAAGCCAAGTGAGGAACCTGAGCCCCCTAGGCCTCGGAGAGGCAGTCTGCGGAGTGGGGAGCGTGAGCGAGCCAAAGCCATTCCCGAGATCTACCTGACACGCTTGCTGTCCATGAAGGTATGCTGGGAGCAGGGCCAGGGCAGGCAGTGGTGTCTGGGTTGGGTAGGACTAGGGGTAGGTTGGAGTGCCTCAAGACTGTGGAGGCTGGGCCGGTTCCCTTGCTGAGTGCAGCTCTCCCGTGTCCCCTTCCCTTTAGGGGACCCTGCAGAAGTTTGTGGATGACCTGTTCCAGGTGATTCTCAGTACCAGCCGCCCTGTGCCAATCGCTGTGAAGTACTTCTTTGACCTGCTGGATGAGCAGGCCCAGCAGCATGGCATTTCTGACCAGGACACCGTCCATATCTGGAAGACCAACAGGTGGGCGTGGAGTTGGGTGGGCTTCAGGCCTGTGTGTGGGTCTTCTCCTGCCTCCTCCCCACCCAGCACACTCACTGGACATATCTGCCTCACCCGCAGCTTGCCGCTGAGATTCTGGATCAATATAATTAAAAACCCGCAGTTTGTGTTTGACGTGCAGACGTCTGACAACATGGACGCAGTACTCCTCGTCATCGCACAGACGTTCATGGATGCCTGCACTCTGGCTGACCACAAGCTGGGCCGGGTGAGCAGGCTCTGGGTGGGCACGGAGGGGCAGCATGGGCTGGGAGTGGACAGTACTCTGCATGCACCCAGGTGCCAGGATAGTAATGAGGGCCAACTTCTGACTCCAGGCCTCCCCAGGCCAGCTGTTCTTAGTCTTAATATTTGAGCAGGGGTTGGGGGGGCACCGTGTACCAACTCAGAGTCAAGACATCGGAAATAGGTTCAGCTGGGTGTGGCCAGGGCCTGGAGTGCTGGTCGTCTGTGACTGGAGTTCTCCGCCACTTGGTGAGAGTCATGAACGGCTGGGAATGTGGAGTGGTCTTGGCAGGCCTGAGAGTGAGGCCGAGCTCCCTGGTGATTGTGCAGTGGATAGACTAGCACCTGAGAGTCCAAAGAGGAAGCTGTGGCTGTCTTCAGGTGTGCAGGGACGAGGTCCAAGCTGGGTATGAGCATACAGTGCAGGCAGAATCCAGGCTGTGCTGACAGGTTGGATGTGGAGACTGAGGGAGAGGAGGGCTCACATGCAGTCCAGGTCTCTGGCTTTGGTGAGCTGAGACTCGGAGGAGGGGCCTCAGTTGGTTTCCAGGTGCAGACATGTGTCTAGTCCCAAAGCAACTTCCGATTGCCAGATGGGTTTGATTCTGGGAGAGTGTTGGTGGGGTCTGTGGAGTAATGGGGAGGAGAATCCAGGGCATGCCTGTGTGTGATGGGTGTGCTGAGCAGGGAGGTGGAGGCGCAGAGGAGAGAGTGGTCAGGGCAGCACTGAGGTAGGGGTATGCTATCATCAAAGCTATGACCCTATGACAGACGTGAGGTCACCAATGTGTCTGGTCAGGTGCCCAGCATGCAGGGCATACAGTTCCATGAATGGGGGCCCTGCTTAGCTCAGACTCCTGGGCCACTGTCGGCCTGTGACCTCTTCAGAGATCCACCTCTTAGCCTCTGTGAGGGGACAAGATAGAAGGTTCTGCTCTGTAGGTAGCACTGTATTTAGGGAGCCTCTTTTGTTCCATGTGTACTCATCACTCTCATGAACTGAGAACCTGTGGGCCACACCAGAACCTGTGGACCAGTTCCAGAAGTGGGCACTGAGTAGTGGTTGGGTATTTGGCCCGGTTTTTCCAGCACAGCAGCAGTTAGCTCCTGGGTAGTTCTGGAATAGTCCACACCGCACCTACTAAGGGTCCCCTGTACAGAGAACTGATGACACAGTGCATCCCTGCTCACATAAGGACTCGTGTCACCCTCGTTAACCTGATTCACCCTTGAGCAGCTTGAGGATGCAACAGCAGGTCAAGAGAAGTGAAGTTTGCTGCCCTGGGTCATAGGCACTGGGGAAGAGGTGGGATTTGAACTCAGGTCGGTGTTAGAGGCTGTTCTTGGTGTGTTAAAATTGTCCGTTCTGCATCTGAGAGCCCTCCCTCATATTTCAGCCACTTCAGGAGTGAGTTAATCTGGGGCAATTTGCGTTAATTGTCTGGATCACAGTTTCCTCATTTTTTAAAGTGATGAAATAGGATTAAATGACAAGGAACTTGAAGCAACAGCATTAGGGCTTCCCGTGCCTCTGCATCCTTCCCACCCTGCATGCCGTTCTGGGCTGACTCCATGCAGGAGCCACATGGAGACATGTGAAACTGAGACATGGCCTCAGGTGAACAGGGAGGAGGTTGGGGTGCTGACCTTAGAGCCTGGACGCTGGAGGAAGGAAGTGGGCTATGGTGATCAGTCATATTCCGGTGTGCTGGGACTGGGGGATCTTGGGACGCAGGATTAAAACTGAAGCAGAGTTGGGAAAACCAGGAAACTGAGTACTCTAACAGGCTCTCATTCTTGTTTTCCTCTTTCTAACCTTCCTGGTGCCCAGGACTCCCCCATCAACAAACTTCTATATGCTCGGGACATCCCCCGTTACAAACAGATGGTAGAAAGGTACTGGGTGTTAAGGGGAATCGGTGGACATTGGTGTGTGTGGTAGCTGAAGCTCAGGGGTGGCCACTGGTGGGGTGGGAAGTGGTCTTGTTTACCTAGCAGCTGCAGCACCTGTGGTCTCTGACAGGTATTATGCAGATATCAGACAGGCCATCCCAGCCAGCGATCAAGAGATGAACTCCATACTGGCTGAACTGTCCCGGGTAAGGCTTTCCCGGACTCCTTGGGTTGGGCACAGCCTCCTGCCATGAGGATCCTGCACCTTTCACATCAGTATTCTGCAGGGAAGCCCTTGGGCCCTCAGCAGCCCTTGGCTGGTTAGGGCAGGACACATATTATTGTGATAAATGAAGAATGTTCCACCTGCCACTGTAAAGGAGCTGAGCTCCAGCCCTTTCACCTCAGAGCATGTAGCTGCCACCTGATCTGGCTTGGCCAGGTGCTTGACTTCCGATAGTCCTTTATGGGGTGTGTGGACAAGAGAGCCAAAGCAGAGAGGTAGCTAGAATTCAGCTCCAGGTTTGGGGGTCTGGGGACCCATGTCTTCCTATTGTCTGCTTCCCTTAGTGTTATAGACATGCCCCCACTTACTTCTAAAATTGCCCCAAATTATAAGCAAGGTTTCTGAAATGACACTGATGACCACAACCACAATAATAAATGCTGTTAGTGCCGTCAAGCAGCTGTACTTTGAAGACGTTGCTATGTGTCAAGCCATTCATTGGGTGCTCTGGGGGTCTCATTTGATACCTTCAAGAGTTCCACAGGCTAGGGAATGCCCTTCTGTTGTCCTGAGGAAGAGGCTGAGGCTCAGAGACATCACATTGTGGGCTGGCGAGGAGCCTCAACAGATATATGCTGGACTCACAGTCTGAACTACGGCATCTGGCCAGCTGGACTCTGCATTCCCCTGGGGCAGCAAAGGGGTCAAGCTGGAGCTTGGAGGCAGGAGAGACGCAGGGCCACAGGAAACTTCAGGCCCTGTTGCTGGGCTCTGTGCTCTTTTGATATCCCCCACTTTTCTGGGTAGGTGGGAAGCGGCTGTCAGATGGGGCTTCTTTAAGGTTGGGGACTGGAGACTAGCGCATCAGGAAACTGTAGACCAAGGGTCTGTCTCAGCTCATACTGTATAGCAGAAATACCACAAGGGGGTGGTACTTTAGAGAACAAAGTTCTGTTCTCACAGTTCAGGAGGCTAGAAGTCCAAATTCAGGGCTTTGCCTCTAGGGGAAGACGGTATCTCTGTTGTCTCTGGGCGAAGATGTTTGTTTCTGAAGACCCCGTCTTCTTTAGTTCCTTGTCCATCTTTCCATGGCAGGTAGCTGTTTCCCATTTATGCTGGCTATTCTGTGTCTAATCTGCTCTTTTTATATCTCAAAAGTGATTATCAGATTTAAAACATGGGATTACATCCACAGATATAGGGGTCAGAAATCCAACATGGATTTTTGGGGGCACAATTGAGTCCATGCTAAATACAGTTTTGCCCCACGCCTGTCCCAGGCTGAGCACACCCTCGGCTGAGCACCTTGGTCTACAGAGGGCTTTGCTGCCCATTGCAGGTTCTGTCCCTTCCTCCACCTTCCAGGACTCCTCCCTGTCCACTGTCACGTACCTCTCACCTCTCTTCTTACCCCCTCCCTAGAACTTCTCTGGAGATCTGGGGGCACGGGTGGCCCTACACGAACTCTACAAGTACATCAACAAATACTACGACCAGGTAGGTAGGACCCTGGGCTCAGGTTGGGAGGCCCGACTTCTAGTCATTCCCTGGGAGGCTGAGGAGATATGTAAGAAGGAGTCTGGCCCTGTGATTCAGGGTGGAGGGGCTTAGGATCACCCCCAGTCACACAGAGTAAGAAGAGCAGGGCCCCTTGGCAGTTTTGGGGTGCATCCTTGGTGTTTCTTCTGCTCCTCAGTGGGACTCCTAGGTGTGGTGGTGTGGTGGGTGGGGAACTGAGGAGGTGACCTGCAAGCGTGTTGGGACACACAGGTACCACCTTTGCTCTGACCAGAGCCCTCGGCTGGCAGTGTATGTGCACAGACACCTCTTGGGGTATAATTCTCACTGGGTTGTGTGGCTGCCAGAGAACAGGGCCCAAGTGGAGGATCACAGCCCAGCCTAGAAGCAGGAGAGGGTGAGGAATGATAAAGCCAGTGAAGGGCTGTCTAGGGGGCGTTCTGGCTTCCCTCACTAATCCTTGAAACCCACAGTGACCTGCTGTTATGATCCCCTCTCACTGGCAGCGCCCTGTGATCACAGGTAGCAAGTGAGGTAGATCACAGCTTCTGGGACCGTACCTCCGATTGTGCTGCAGTACCTTAGGAGGCCTGTTCTGCTCTGTGTCTAGCAGGTGGGCTGGAGAGCTCTCCCCAGCAGGGTGGGTATCTGTGTTTCAGATCATCACGGCCCTGGAGGAAGATGGGACAGCCCAGAAGATGCAGCTGGGCTACCGGCTCCAGCAGATTGCAGCCGCTGTGGAAAACAAGGTCACGGATCTGTAGAGATGAGCAAGCCTTGGCCCACAATGGCCTCAGCCAGACCCGTCTGAGTAGGCCTGGAACCGTGAGGGGAGACACCACCTTCTTAGATGCTGTAGTGACTGACAAGCAGGATTAGTGGAAGGTGGCCTCCCAGCCTCCCAGTGCTGCTGGCCTGGGCCCTGTAGGACCCATTTCACAGTCTTGGGGCCCTGAGGCTCACGGGGTTGGCACCCAGCCTGCTCCCCGAGCCCAATGACCTTGTGTTCTACTTCCTATGGGATGCGTGTCTGCGGAGTCAGGGACCAGAGAGTGGCCAGAAGGGGAAACCATACTGCACCTGGACACTGGCCTTTATCCACTGGGGTTTAGAGAAGATGAGGAGAGCCCCACCTTCCTTGCTCCATCATCCTTGACCTGAGTTTAGTGGCCTCTGGCCTTCTTGCTGCTGCCATGTTCCTAGGCTGGAGAGATGGACACCTTTCTTAGGCCACTGAAAACTGACTCTTGAGCAGGGCCAGCTGCTTCAGGACCACCCTGCCTCACAGGGGGCCAATAGTGGAGGACATCTGCTGTAGGGGGCCTTGGGGCGAGGGGCAGCTCTTCATTAAAGGATAACACACAGCGTGGAGTAAAGCTCTGATGTGTGGTGACTGTCATGCCTGGCAGGCTCCGGAGGGAGGTGGTGTCTACCCGCTGGGGTGGGCTCATGCCGTCAGGTACTGCCCCAGGCTACAAGATGGCTGGGCTCTCCTTAGCCTCTGGGCAGGGCCTGCTGGCTCAGAGCGTCTGTGAAGGAAATGAGAAGTTCATCCCGGACAGGGTTGGGAGGGCTGCTGCCCAAGGTGGAGTGGTCTGCCGCCTCAGAGGGGCTTGCCTTGTTTGTAGCGTTGAGTATTCTAACTCCTCTGCTTATGTTCCTCTTTATCTTGCAAGGAACTGGGGAAGGACGACCTCATAATAGGAGACTCTAGTCTGAGTGGGTCTTGGGGGCCTGTTTTCATGAGCCTGTTTCTGGACTGCCCTAGCCTCGCTAGCCTGGAACATTCTTTTAAAGGGACTACCTGCTTACTGGGAGTCCAGGTGTGGCAGGACTGGTGTGGGCTAATGCGTCAGGCTATAAAGTCGTTTGAACTGCAAGGTCGGTGGTTCAAGATCACCAGCTGCTACTTGGAAACCCTATATAGGGTTGCTATGGGTCGGAATTGACTCGACAGCACTTAATAACAACAACCACCTGCTTACTGGGTGACCTTCCAAATCAAGGCATCTTGGGGTAGGAGTCAGGCCTTTTAGCTCAACTGCCTGCCTATGTGTACATTACCTTATATGCCTTTTGTTTTTTTAAATTTATAGCTGGAGGTAGACTTTGAGATGATTTTAACTGGGTCCTGTGGGGCTGGAGATCGATGCCCTCTTGACTGAAGCCATTCCCTGCCTCAACAGGGGACCAACCTGCTGAAAACAGGCACACCGAGGGCCCCTCAGCCCTGAGCTCTTCAGAATTCCACACCTTTGGCTTTCCACTTACTCTCCCCATTTACTCCCCCATAGCCCTCCCTTTCATGCCCCATCTCCTTCTTGGGGGTCTTTGTTGAGGGTTTGGAGGCAGAGGCTGATGTGATTGTAGGAGTTAACCTTTGTTGTCTCCCCTTGGTGGCTGTACGTACAGCCATCCCCCAAGCCTTTGTCCCTGAGAAAGGAGCCTTACTGTTCTTGTCCTTGTCAGGTGATGTTGCAGATGACATTCTAAATCGGTTATAATATCTTTCCTTTTCCATTTTTGCCCAGTGTCAGAACCCACCTACATTTGTGCCACAGTCCAAGATGGGTCAGGCACGATCAGTTCGAGAGTATCTCAGATGGGTGGCTTTAGCCAGGAGGTTTTCAGAGATATTTAGTTTGGTTCTGATTCTCCCCACATACTGCTCTGTCCAAACCATGGAGTCTGCTTCCCATCTTGACTATCTTGGGAGCAGGGCCAATGGGAATTCAGCTTTGGGTGGATGTCAAGCCGGTGCAGAGAGGACAGGCAACCTTTTTGTCAACACCACAGGGGTCATGATAGACCTTTGCATCTGTACCAGACTCAGGTCCATTGGTCATGGGGAACCTATCATGGTGGCAGGTGAGGGCTGTGTGTGTGTGGGCATGTGAGTACTGCACATGCATTGTTGAGTCATTGACTTTTATGTCTCACCCTTCACAGGATATTGTTTAAAAAAAGATATAAAGAAGAAAAAACCTACAAAAAAACCTAACGCAAAAAAGATGAGAGTGAGAATGGAGATTCTAACAGTTATAGGATTTTGTGATTACTCACGTGGGTCTTGCTTAACATGTCAGTGTAGAATGTGTGTCATTTGGTTTGATGAATCTTTTCATAATAGTTTCTCATCAAGATTGCAAAAGTATGCTTTCGTTACTGTTTCACAAACATGTTGGGATACAAAGGTCCTTTGTTCCCAATTATTTTGGAGTGAGTTGCTTTATTAAGAGAATTGTCATCAGTTGAAGTATTGGGGCCATTGGCCAAATGTTTAGAAGAGCCAGTCACTTATTATTTTTATTTTTTGGCAATGAAAGAATCATGTGGTAAACTATGTTAGCTGAATTTGAGCTGATAAATATCAGAATCATCTTGGAAATGACTTGACTCTTCTGGGATGGGCAGGACTCCGGTCCTCCGGGCTGGTTCCGGCAGACGACTTTGCTGTGCTTCAGGTCCATTGCACTGCCCAGCTCTCCTGACAACAGCTCATGAAAGAACAAATGCAGACCCTGAACTGTCTGGCTTAACTAACTCGTGGTGTTTCTCAGATATCTCTTTTTATGTCCTAATTAAGGATGGTGACATACTCAACTCCAAATCTTTACCAAAAATTCTGAGGCAGAAGTATCCTCACGATGCTTGAAAGAAAATTCATTATGTGTTTGGGATTCTAGGGATTTACTTGGAGCTATATTGTTTGGTTTATCGGATTGATACATATACTTGAAAGGAAACAGAACGACCTATGGGCTGCTCCAGTGGCTGTAAAAAGAACCAGCCGTCAGCAGGTCAGTGTGTGAAGCCGAGTCCAGTAGGTCCAGGTATCCTTGCCACAGGTGGGTCTGTAGCTGGGATGGTGCATGCTGCCATCTTCTGGCTGTAGAGTGAACTGTATCAGAAGCAGACGTTTAGTTCTTTAGAAATTTTAAACAATGGGCAAGGGTTTAAAATTCACATGCGCTAGAACTGAGTGGGTCATACTGTTACTACCATTAATTCTAGGTTTAGATTTGAGATATGTCTCAGGAGAGAGTAGAGATAACAGTGATCATCAGGAAAACAACCTACTCTAGGTGTGTTTCAAACAGAGGGCCTAGAAATACAAAAGGATTGGTTACAAAAGTGTTGAAAGAGCAAAAGGGTGTACAGTTACCCAGATTAGTGACTACAGGAGCCTCTATCACCCCAAGCTGGCAGAGGGGACAAGAGTGTCATCCTGTAAGTGTGTGGCCCTGGAGGCTGGGAGCTCTTGGTTGTCACCTGCAGGAGGCCAGGAGTGGGGAACCCCATCTGTGAGTGGATGCTGCCAGCACCCTGTTACCACAGTGAAGAAAGATTCAGACTCCTTTTCCTCTGAAACCTTCCCCGTGGCCTTAATCCCAGATAGGGCATGGCCAGTCCTGCTCTGGGAGGCAGACCTGAGCCCGTTTCTCCAGCCTTGAGTGCTTTGTGTGACCTGGGATTGGACCTTTCTGGGCCTCTGAGGAGGACAGATGCCCTGACAGGTGGCAGGAGTCCTAGGTAGGTTTCCTGTGTGGGGTTGGGTCCCAAGCTGTAGCCTGTTGCTAAGTGTTGAGTTGATTCTGACGCATAGTTACCCTCGTAGGATTGCTGCGGCTATACATCTTTGCAGGAGCAGAAAACTTTTGTCTTTCTCCTGAGGAGCAGCTACTGGGCTTAAACCACTGACCTTGTGGTTCACAGTCCAATGTTTATCATACAGAGTCACCACACTGGCACCTGAAGAGTTTAGTGAGGAAATGAGGTGCTCATTAAGTGCTGAATTAGTGCAGTCCTGGCAGGAAACTGACACTATCCCCCAAAATTAGAATTTAATGAGATGACTGCACAGCTGTAGACCTCAAAGGACCAGGGTAAAACAGTTCTAGGGAGCTGGGGCCTCAGGATGGCCACCCCTCAGAAACTGAGGCCTTTAGAGGAGGACATGAGCCACACAGCCTACTAGCAGCTTGGTAGAGAAGACGCTGGAGGAATAGGTGCCTTCGTCTCTCTGTCACCCTCTGTCAGCATTTCCCATTAACTGGGCCAACATGGAAACCCAAGGGCAAGAGGTCTGGCTGATGCAAACCAGGAATCGGTTGCTGGAGCAAGCAGGGTGGAAGGGGGCTGAGTGGGCCTGGAGGGCAAACAAATACAGCAGAACCACATCCTACTGTTCTACAAGGCACACAGTAAGATCATGTTGGCCTAGGTCATAGGGTGATTGCCAGAGCAGGACTTGGTTCCCAGGGGTTTCCCACCACACCTCTTTTGTTGCTCCTTTGCAGGTACTGCAGTCATCCGAAGGACCTCAGAATCCTGACTTCTTAGGGCTAATTTTGTCTTCTCACCGCTCCAACACAGATGCAGGCTGTAGAAGGCATGGCTGTCTACAGGTTCACCTTAAGGCAGAATTCCACCCAGGCAGGACACAGAGATCTGGAGGCCAGTGCATCTGCACACCTCACATCTACTGAAGTATGTGAGGTTATTGCTGCACCTGTACCCAGCGGTCCCTTCTCACCAGGAAGCTGGCCTGGAGTCTAGGTGGCACACCTGCATGTGTGAGTGGTGGGTGTGTGTGTTCGCCATTGTGTGGCATGAGGAACAGGCAGAGGCTGTAATTAGCAGAAATCCAACCAATCACTGATTGGTCCTGAATGGATGGGCTTTCTGGGTTCGTGAAACAATGGGAAGAGAATAAAGAAGAACCAGCAAGTTTGCAGAGACTGCCCTCATTCAGTCTCTCTCT